TTATTAGAGGGTTTTATGGTCATTAGTTGGATGATTAAGACAAAAACCATATTTCCTGATATTTGCACCTTCAGGAATGTGGGCCGTGAGAGACAGAGAAAGTAGAGGTGGCCAATTGCCGGGCCGCGACCTGTCCGGCTCGGCCCGTCGAGTCGACGGGTGTCAATACCATGGCCCGTGATCGGCCCGAAATAAACTATGAGTCGGTTCATAGAACCAGCCCTGAGGAGGCCGGTTCAGGGCTGGTTCTGGCTGGGCCGAGACCGGTTCACGAGCTGGTTCGGTCTGTGGACATGTCTAAAAGAAAGTGTATAACCAATTAACCACTAATTACGTGGAGCCCTTGCTCCAAGTCGCTTTGCTTCAAAATTAGCTACATTGTTGTCTTGAAAATTTGTAAGAAAAATTGCATGTTGAGAGAATTAATCGGTTTTACCATTATTATTATTTTTGTTATTGTTATTGATATTATTACTGTACCCCTAAGTTTCCAAAAGTTCACAACAACAGTAGTCTAATATTAATCACCTAGCCTATCCACCCAATAACGGGACAATTTCTAATAATATAACTTTTTCACCTTAAAAAATACGAAGATTATGCGAATGATTCACATAACTGTTACATATCAGCCGCGTAATTATCGCATATCGCATAACTGTCGCTTATTTACATCAGAAATTGCGAATGATTACGCGAATGTCTTCGCATTTTTAATTTTCGCATAATATAATTCGCACAATGTTGGAATATCATTTGTGAGTTGTCCCACATTAATTCTATAGGGAAAATGAGCCTTGTATATAAGCCAAGTGGCTACTCCTCCTATCATCAATTGGTTTTGAGATGTAACCTCACTGTAACTTATAATTCAGCGAAAAACTTATTCAGTATTTAGAACAGAGTCTAAATAACTATTTTCGTCTTTATGTATTTGACAAAACTGGAGTAGATAATTACATCTTGAAAACTCGATATAATTCTTGTGACACTATAATTAGCATCCAAACTAAGTTGCCCAAAGGTGTAAAGTTGATCAAATAATAACTCATAATTATATGTTTCCAAATGTACAATATAGTTCATAATATTGATCATCTCTTTGTCAAGAAGTTAGAGATGGTTGCTACAAATAAACTCGTATATATGTAAGAAACTCCAAATTCCAAAAAAAAAAAAAAAAGTTAAGTTATAACTAAAATAGCAGTAGTAGTAGTTATAACTATATATTTTCCAAAAAAAGAAAAATTGGATTTGACTAGTTCCATAAGGAATCCTCCATGTTAGGCTCCTCCATGCTAAAAATGGAATTGTGTTGGTGTGAGTGAGAGTTTTGTGGAGAATGAGGCATAGACGAGAATTGACGCATGCGCATGTGGACAACCTCAGCCTGCGCAAGCGCAAGTTGAGTTTGAAGCATGTCTATTTGTTGCTGTAAGGACGAAATTGCCCCTACACATCCGTAAACCGGATCTCTTACCCTCGCATTCGCTTCGTACACCATAGAACTCACCGCATCTCCCCTTTGCTCCTCCGGCAATTCCTACCAAACACAAAATAATCAAATTATATATATTAAAAACAAAAATAAAATAATTTCATCTTGGAATTTAACGTAAATTATTATTGGAAGACTAGAAGCAGCGCGAGTTATTAATTAACACAATTTTTTATAGGGGAAATGCGACGGTTCCGTTACAGAACCACCCCGTCGGGAGTTTTAACTGTCGGATACACATGAGTTAGTATAAGACATATGATCTATCTAACAATTAAAACATCTGACTAGATGGTTCTGCAACGGGACATAGCATCGAGACAAAATGAATGTTGCGCATGCTGAGATTGGGTTACTTTTGAATTTGTAGCTTAAGACACAAAAAACATATCTTCTCAAATGGTCCTTTATAAGGATCGATGCATTATATATTGTAACGCATGGAACTAAATAATAAGAGAACCAGAATTCTTTGACCAATTAAATTAAAGTTTTTTTTTTTTTTTGGTACAAATTAAATTAAAGTTTTCATGTCTCATAAAACAAAGTGGCAAAAAGAAGATTGTATGTAACTTTTGGAAAAAGTTGGGAATGCATATAATATCTATGGCCTTCATTTGGTCTAAATTAATTAAAGAGGATTTTACTTTGCATGAATTGTTACACTGTCCCCTCCTCACTCCACCACTTTAGTAATTGCTATAATCTAGTACTACAACACTCGTATATTACACGGGTGATTGTTAAAAAAATTATATTTAAATTTTAAAATTAATGAGAAAAAGCGTTTTAAAATTTATATACTTTTTACGAAAAATATAATATATTTTTTGAATGATTTGTTATTTATGCGACTTACATGCATATATTATAATTTTGCTAACTTATATCACCATAACTACTTTAAACATAAATATATTAATTGATGAATAATTTTATTTTCTAGTTAGTTTTAATAAAAATATTTCATATTATATAAATATAAATATAATTTATATATTTTATATATACAATATAGATGTCACATCGAAGCTTATCAAACGATGATTAGTTTGATATATACGATGATTAATTTGATATATTATATATATAAAACTGATAACTAATACAAAAGTGTTTAACCTTTAAAATACTACTACAATTTAATGTTTATAATAGGAAAAGATATTAAAATGTAATTAATACATATAACATGACCATAAATAATAATATATTTATGGATAATCTGAACTTAATTATTTTTAGATTAGAAATAAATTAAAATATATCCAAGTTAAATAATGCATCATGAAATTTTGCCTAATATTTGAGTCTGCTGCTTAGGCTCACCCCATTCAGTAATTGTATATAAGGAGGATTGTTAGAAATTCAATTCTTACTCACTTGTCAAAGTGCATAATAAAATCTTACAAGGGAGTCATAGTTGTCTTTTGTTTAATGAAAATGTCCAATTATTAAGTATGATATCAGTTACCAAAAAAAGGGAAAAGAAAAAGAAAAACAATAGAAGGGAAGAAAAAAAAAAAAGAGAGGAAAGAATAGTAGTGATAGCTCTGTTTGACAATATATGTCATTCTAGTTTTAAAAATCAGAATTAAGTGGGTAGAGGAGTATTTCTCTTTAATGGAGTTGTCTAATTTATTTTTATATCATATCTTCCTGAATCCCTAAAAAAAGCGGGCTTGGCCATTGAACCCGCTGCCCGAGGGTGGGGCGGGTTGGACTGTCTTTATCAGGCCCGCCCCGCCAACAGGCGGACTTTGGTGGGTTACGGGCTCGCTCATCCATCGACTCGTTCTGACAGCTCTAGTTATTTGGGTTAGAAGAATGAAAAATAAAAGATAAAAGTCACTAGTAAAAAAAAAAAAGTAGAAAAGTGATGAGCACCGAAAATTCAAAAAGAAAGAAAAATGGGAAAAAAATATAGGGATTCCACTAATTATTTTAATAATGTCAACTTTATAAATTTGACGTTGATTTTTCCACGTACAGTGTGGGTATTCCACTTCCCATCACTCTCCACTCTACAAAATCATGACTGACGTGCAATGTATATTCATCAATATATAATACAAAAAAAAAAATGAAATTATTGCTATGGTAGTAAATTAATTAGTAAAAATACCTGAAATAATTTAGAATGAAATAAAAGTAATAATAATGTATGACAAGTAGCATCAATATATATGAGGTGGATTGATAATTGTTTTGAGAAAATGCTACAATCTCGTAACGGAACTATTTAGTTGGGATTTGTAACCGGATACACATGATAACTAATATAGATGTGTATCTAATGTTTACAAATCCCAACGAAATAGTTATGTAACGATATAGTCTTACCCATTGTTTTGATTAAACACATAAAATCTAGTAACACATAGGCCCCATTAAAATCATTTTTTTTTAGCACGGGCTTGTGCTAAAAAAAATTATTATAAATATATATCCCGGATATATATTTATAACGATTTTTTTTTCTAAAAGAAGTACTTAGTACAATTGCTTTTTTTTTTTTTTTTATCCAATAACCAAGAACAAATAGGGTTTTTTTCGATGATATATTTATGTTATGAGAACAGTTTCACAAATCGCAATGCATAACTGAAAAAATATAAAAAGTCCCAAAATGTGTCATTTTATGATTAATAATATAAAACACTTGTAAATTAGGTATCCTATATATTTTGTTTTAGGCAAAATTGTATATTAATACACAAACTTTTATATTTTTGTAATTTAATCACCACGTTTAAAATTTAGCAAATTAATACACCACATTTATCATTTTTGCAAATCGATACATGAATGACGGTTCTGTTAACAAAAATATATAACAAAAATGTGTGGTGTATTATTATTTTTTTTTTTTGCAAAAATGATAAATGTGGTGTATTAATTTGTAAAATTTCAAATGTAGTGAATGAAATGCAAAAACACGAAATGTGGTGTATTAATATACAATTTTACCTTTAACATAAAAAAAAGGGAAGAAAGTGTGAGTGAGTGAAGTGACCTGAAGCATCTTGTTGACATTGCTGGCACCAAAGACCTTATGGACGCAAGCAAACTTGTGCGGTTCGTCGGCCGGAAAATATGGCGCAAACACACATTCCTTAGCACATCTCCGCCGCAGAAGCTTGCACGCCGCACATGGAGTCGCCGCCCCTTGTTTCTTTACTATTATATCCTTCATCTCTCTCTCTCTCTATTATTCACAATACTAACTTACTATTTTTTGCCTAATTGACAAAATTGTTAATTATACTAACTTAATTTACTTCACTTATTTTTCTTTTCTTACTTCCTCAGTTTGATTATATTCAACTACGTTTGTTTGTTTAAGGAGGGTATAAATATAAATATTTTAGATATAGATTTGCAAGAAAATTATAAGGGTAGCGTGGGATGGGAGTTGAAATGGCCAATGGGGCGGTGTTAATGTTATATATAGAAATTCAAAGTGCTAAATAAATAAATAAATAAAGTGTTGTGCAAACTAAAATCTCTGCTGGGTCCTACCATGGAAGAAGCTTTAGATTTTGGTGGGACAAAAAAGTGTTTCGTTTTCCCCCAATATATTAATTAATTTTTATTTCCACCAAAATTGTCCATGCAATTTTATTTTATATTCATAGGGGAATTTGTAGGCACTAACCACCCTACTACTCTCTTTAATGTATGTGGAATTTTAATTTTAACCTATGTATGTGGAATTTTATTTTACAAGATAAATCATGCCACACTTTTTTTTTTTCCGAAACGATAAACTTTTATAAAAACAACACATAATTACAAGTAGAACTCAACAAGAAATCGAATATAGTGGGTGGACATCCCTGACGGGAGTCTAGACTACCACAACGCAACCACGATAATACCTAATTCCAACAGAAGAATACATATCCCTCCAAACAAGAGAATACATATCTCAAACGAATAACAACACCCAAAAAAGGGCAGATAAACACAGAAAAACACGTAGCACACAAACACAACCTAAATATAATAGAGTAAAGGCTTTCCCTCAGTTAAAAAGTCGCACTAAGCTAAACACGACGACGATACCCGCGACAGGCCACCCATACAGACAGAATCAAGTCCCAAATTTTAGTTCCAGAAACTGCAACACACGGCTTACTGGAGCCGATCGAAATTGAAGGTCCTCTTCCTGCGCCCAGGCGGCAGAACCCAACCCCTCAGCCGGAGAAAATTAAACAAACCACCCACCACACCACCACCGCCACGAACCCAGCCCACAGCACGGGCAAAGGCTCGTCACGACGACCATGCCTCAGCCCTAACACCAGGGGAAAATGGGGCAAGGGAGAGAAAGCCACCAACCTCCGTCCCGGCCACCGTCAATAAGCAGTCGGAACCACAACCCACCCAGACAGAATAATCGACGAGTCTTCCTTTGAGTAACCATCATTCTCGGAGCCAGCGACGATTCATCATCAGATTTTGGTGGAGGTTTAGAGACAACAGGAGTATCAATGGCAACATCAGTTTTCTTACTCTTCTTTGCCCTCTCCCCCTAAGGTAGAGAGGTTTTTGTATTCTTGAATTATTTGGAGATTTGGTGGTAGACGGGGATTCTATGATACCACACCCTTCTCGCCAGCAACTTCATCGACATCCACCTTGGTATTTGACGACTTTTTGGGGCTTGAGGAAACTCAGGTCTCAATTAGCTCTGTTGATTGAGTTTATCGACCTCCGTAACTGAGGTTATTGTGGTTGAGGGAGTCTATATACTTTTGCTTTGCGAGTGGAATGTCAGAATCTTCGGCATATCTTTTCTTCTTCACTATGGGCTTCTTGATACGAGGCATATTGAGAGATATGAGCATGAGAGAACTCAAATGGAAGGATGAGAAAGTTAGGGTTTCCTGGGAAGAAGATTGATTGAGCGATATTTCCTAAGAATCGGGGAGAAGAAATAACAAGGGACAAGACGGTTCAGCTTTTTCAAGTTTTAATTTCAAACTTGCTGATTACGCAAGTACAGACATGGAATAAATGTTCCCTCCAAAATATTCACTTACTAAACAAGGGATGCATTCTAACAAATATTGCGAATGTAGATTCATATAGAACATTAGGCATCGTTTAGTACCAAAATTAATTTTGCACTTATAAGCCCTAACTCAACACTTCAGAAATCACATGCAATTATGCCTAAGGACAACCCAAATATACATATATATATACACACACACACACATAACATGCAAGCACAATATGACCATATTCAAGCAAATAAGCGAATAATTTCAGCCCAAGTATATATATATATATGTATGTGTGTGTGTGTGTGTGTATGTGTGTGTGTGTGTATGTGTATTTGCCCTATTACACTCAGGAATTACAACGAAGACCCCTCTTCTAAACCTATGATGTAATCACCTACACAACTACTTTCGTGACTACAAATCCCTTGTAGATTTTCAAAACACGAATCCCTCGTGTTGTTCTAAGTGTTCCTCCAGAACACCTATACTATCTCAAAGTATAAATATGCTCAATGAAATTGAGAACAAACTCTTGTCTCCACTCAAATAAAATAAAATAAATCTCATAAAATGATTCAACGAACAGCTCTCAAAGTTCTTCCCTCTAAACAAAAATGAAAAATAATCTTCTAATTGCATATCTCCCACGCGTGCAAGGAGCCACTTATATCTTACTACCTCAATTTTTTTAAATGTCATTTTGGCTTTATGAACCATTAACAAAATAAATGATGTCTTGGATCTTTTGTACATAGTTTTTCATTATTACCCTCATTTAACTAATAAATACACTGCGTCTTTTCATGTTAGCTCTTCATCTTTTCTCAAAACATTCATCTCTATCTTCATTAATGAGGGCTATTATTGGCAAAAAAATATTCTTAATTACTGTGCAACTTTTCAAAACGACATTTATTAAAAAAATGGAGGGAGTACATACCTATGGTAAGTTCACCTCATCCGCGAATTATATTCGAGACACCAATTACTCGAATTACCTTCCTACGTTTAAGATATAATGACCATCACATAATTCAATTTCAAACAATCAAGAATTAATTGACATCTTGAACAGAAGCTAGTACCACTCAAATCTTTATTATTATGTCGGCACTTAATCCACCTGCAATGTTTAACATAATTCCTTCATGAGCTCACCTCGGATACATCATCAATGTAGAACACATTGTGACCGTAATATTCTAACAGCACATCCTACATACAACACTATTACCCAAAACACGAAGACTATTGACCCAGCAGGATGGATCTCGCTTTTGGTGAATCATAGTTAAAGGCTGCATGTACATGCATATTTATATCTTAGGGGTTAAAAGAACTCAGTAATTAACCGGACATCGTTCATTTACGATGATCAGTATAAAACGAACTGCTCCTCTCTGGATCATTTCCCATACATAAATGTACTAGTACAACTAGTCCGTCAAGATCAATTGTACAGTTGATACTACAACCGTTCTGATGGTTTGTTTCCACCTATGTTGTGAACTAATCTTTCGTGTTTTGCAAGTAACTGATAAATTGATCTTGTGTTTATTCCCTAATGAACTATTTTATCTAAGTGCAAAACAACAAAATATAAAACTTGTTTATTCAAACATGATTCTCATTCAACAAAAATAGTGTAAATAATGTCCGAAATCAAGCTTTCAGTATATACACTAACAACATATCCATGATATACTTCTTATGAGAGAGAAAAGTACCTTGTTTGTTTATATCAATGTCAACTCCTAAGAAATACTTTGCAATTCCAAGGTCTTTGATTATAGATTTTCTGTCAAGAAAGCATTTCTGATCTTCAGACAATTCTTCATGAATGCTTGTCAATAAAACATCATCCACATATACGAATATAGCTATAAGTTATCTCTTTTCCTCATGGTGAATAGACAATGATCATGAGGTGATAGTGTCATACAAAAAAAGTTTATTTTTTTGCTCAACTCTTTATTCTCGAAGCTTGTGTGATTCCATACAAGCTCTTTAACAAACTACAAACATGTCCATCCTTTGCCTTGGTATACCCTGTGGTGGCACCATATATACCTCTTCTAATAAATGGCCACGTAGGAAGGCATTGTTGACATCAGTTTGATACAGACTTTATCGATTCACAAATATCGTGATTGTAGCGCCCGCTTACTTAACCTTGGAAGATGCCAAGATTTTCGGAAACAATTTGAACTACTCAAAAAGCCTTTCAAAATAAAACTTTTCTCAGGCGCTAATGAAAACTCTATTCTTTTTCAAACTTTCTACTGAAAAATCTTTTCTTTCTAAAACACTTTTCTTTCATTCCTTTCATTCCTTTAAAACTTAACCACAACCTCACACTTAGATTATTAGGGAAATCACATCCCAATACTCATATTTGAAAACTTAACCTAAGTATCACGCTTAGGTCCTTAAGAGAACCACATCCGAATTTCTCACATTCTTTTCAAACAATTGAAGACAAAGAAGAACATTGAAAATACTTAGTCTTAAATGAGATCACATAGTCTCAAAAACACAAACTCAATCTCGTTCTTAAAGCATAGAATAATCAAGAGTTTGTAAAACCTTTGTGTAAAATATAACACAAAGCAATAATAGACCACCATCGCTCTCCCGTGTCCACGAACAACTGCTCAATCTGAAAATGATAATTGTTGGCGGTGAGCAAAACAATTAGCCCACCTTGAGCCTATACTATGTTGTTATTTAGTATAAGTAACATATAACATGATATATTATTTATTATATTACTTAATATATTTATTTATTTGGTAAATATTATGATTTATTGTATCATTTATTATGTTTATTTCTTTGGTAAATGTTTATTTAATATTCGAATAAAATTTAATTAACTACGTTAAATATTTATTTAGTAAATAATTAAATACTATTTATTTATTATATATTTAACTAATATATAGTTATTTAATATCAACATCCTTC